TTTGTCTACGTTCGGATATTGATATGACGTCTTCCCATTGCACGGTATTGCGCAACAACATGAGCCCATCCCGAGGGGAATAATGCGGTGAGGAGGGTGAAGGGAGTAAGGGACCTTTTTTTCAAAAAGGCAACCGGGCTGTTGACCGTCTTATTTTAATCCGATTAAATGTTATTCATCCAAGGCTTGAGACTCCACACTCCACAACGAATCTTCTTCCGAACGGGGCAAACAGCTGCAAAGAAGGAAGAAACGCGGGACTCGCCATTATTTTATTTGGCACTTACGCTTTTCTTCCTGGCGACGTTCAAAACCCCGGGCCTGCTACGCAACCCTTCACTCCTATTGATTGTGAAGATTTTACATTGAATATTTTTATTTCTAATTCCCACGTCCGCACCTGCGCATCTCGTTAGTTCCGCATTCTAAGACCAAAGTTTTGACCGAGGTTTGATCCGTGACCTGGAAAAATTGCACGCGAAGGAAGGTCAAAAAAACCTCGATGGATATAAAGTGTTTAAAAGATTGTCTTACTTTTTTTGGCTGTTCTTGATAGAATGAAAGCCAGTGGCGTGGCGTGAATTGCGATGTATCGACTGTTCTGCCATTTAAACCTATGGTAAAGAATCGATTATTTAGGTGTCCGCTGCGAACAGCCTATTTATCGATCCTTTTCTATAGGTTTAAATGGCATAACAATCGATACATCGCAATTCGCGCCACGCCACTGATGAAAGCTTAAAGTTTTTATTATAATAAGGACTAAAAATGCAAGGATGTGCCTATATCCTGAGGATATAGATCCATCTATGCTCTTATCTTTTCAAACTTACATAGATTAGTGCGGAAGAAAATCCGTTTCAGCGGACCCACTTGGTAGTTGCGTGGAAAGTTGCTGCCATTACTTGGAATCGAACTAGAGATCTTTTGAGCCAGAATGGACACGCTGACCACGAAACCTGCTCCCTGGGTGGCGCTATGAATTTTTAGTAAAGGGTATGGGAAAACTGCGGGGGAGATGGAGGGGGAGAACTACCGTGCTACGGAAAAACGCCGTATGAGCCTTCAGGCGTTGCCAAATTTCCTCTGGCAAATCACTAATTTTCAGGAACATTTTTGGATATTTTTCTGCCAATTTTTCGGATAATTTTGTCTGTAATTTGATTTAAAGTGTCTGAAAATTTTGAGGAAATATGTTCATAGTTTTCCTCATAAATGAACATTATTTTATCGAAGGAAATTTGGCAACTCTCGAATGTTCATACGGCGTGTTTTCTTCCTTAGCACGGCAGAGAAAGGAGCCCTATACTAAAAGAGCACTTCCCTCCAATTCGAAGGAAAAGGGAGGTCTGGGGGGCCTCCCGGCCCCCGGGCCCGCTAGACAATTTTTTAAAAAATGAAATGTCTCGTGAGCATTTTTAAGTTGTTCTTGATGAAACAATTATTAAATTAAAATACTGGAAATGACAGAAGTGTCACGCAGTTATTTCGAAAAATTCGTCGCGTGTTCTATAAGATATTTAAAGTAGAGATAAAGAACATTTTAACAAATTGCGAGCATGTTGGAACTTCTCCCTGCATTCTTTTGGGCTCTTTGTCGCGAACGACACGGCGTCAAATGGAAAAATAACTTGCGGGCAATAAAATTTTTCTGGTTAAAATTTCACCTCTTCATATTGTAAGTTCCCAGACTCTGACGGATGTAAGAGTGTGAGGTACGTACATTTCAAGTTCGCGGTAATTTTAGTTAGCCACTCACGATAGAAAAAATGGTCGAAAATGGCCAAACACGCCTCAAAAGATGCGACTATTTTTTGCGTGCAGGGCTTGTTATAAAAAGTACTAAACTAAATTAGAACACAGCGTCGTTTAACGCGAAGTTTTTTTCTGCGTCGAGAATTATTTAAATGATGACGGTGCCCGCGGTTAATTCAGTGTTATATTCTTCAGAGGGCGCTAGGGTTGAGAGGGGAGGAAAGTCCCTAATTTGCAATGCGCGACATTTCAAACTCATCTCAGCGAAAATTTGAGGCACGAACCACTAGAGCAGATTGTCGCAGTTTGTATAGGGCGGCTTTGATTTTTTACCGAACGAAAATTAAGGGTGCAAAAGTAATTACTGAACCCTATTAAAAGACGGGTTTGTAAATCTTTGTATTTTCTTTTTCTTTCTAAAAATGAGATTTAGCTCTTGAGTTTTACCTTCCTACAAAAACATGTGAAAAAATCAAGGCGATGTGGGCAGTTGCGAACGGAAGCAAAGACAGGAGTTCATTCATTTTCCTGTAATACGTGCAGGGATCAATTTTGAAGGTATAAAACTTATTATTTTTGAATTGCCGTAAATTTGACAATTTGTGATTTCAATACGCTCTTGAACACAGAATACTGCTCTTTTTAGAATATTCAGCCTTTGATCAGGATGCGCCTCATCCATTCATCCATGGCCTTTGTTTTCCATTTGCTAGGCTCTTGCTAGGCACCGAGGATCCAGCCTTTCTTTATTACCAGCAATTATGTATTAATGACCCCGTATGTATTCTCTTAATGCCATGTTAATATGTTGAAATGCAATCGATGACCTAAGGTTGCACCGCTGGCTGGAGCACCGAACAGAGAGAATAAGGGCATTGGGTCCCTTGCCAACCGTGTAATATTATGTCTAGCTTGCAAGTACTTTTTTTCAATGAATTGCAAAATAATTGGCATTTGAATTTTGCTTTCAATTCGCAGAAAAGTCAGTGAAATTGTAAATCAGGAACTTTTAAAAGTCACCAGGTAGAAACACAATTAACGATTGGGAATTTAATTCATTGAAGTTACGTTCTTTCTCCCAAGGATTGATGAATGGCAAATCAAATCGTCGACAAATTTCAAAGCAAAAATTTATCAGGTACTTTCGGATATCTGAATGCTTTCCTAGGGAATTTCTTCAATATCGAAGCACCGTCACGGTGTTTTTCCTGAAGACGGCGCGAAGGTCCAAGTCGAGGAATTTTGGCGACGTAAAGGGAGCTTTTGGGCGCGCGCCCCGAACCCCGACAAGGGAATAGGGGCCGCGTGGCGGCGGTAAAGGCAGGAAAGGGTGATCGGCCGTGGCGGAGCGGGGTGGGGAGGCTGGCTTCGGGTTCAAGTGTATTATGCCGGTAAAGTGATGGTTCAAGCCACCCCCGCCCCCCTCCCCCGCAGCGACCCCCAGACAAGCACATCATTGTTAAGCTAACCAATTACTCCCTCCAATCTGTGTTCAAGTTAATTTACTGATCTACTTTCCCCTCCCCCCGCCGGCCCCCGCCCCCGCCCCCTCCGAGTCGAGGTTCATCCCCACCACGGCCGCTCTCGCCCCTCGCGGGGTGGCTCGTGAGGGGCGGGGATTCGCTCCGCGGCCGGACTCGTTCGCCAGAATCGTTCCTCTCACGAACCGGCTTCGTCAATGCTGGCGTGAATTGCGATGTATCGATTATTATGCCATTTGAACCTATGGTAAAGAATCGATTATTAAGGTGTTCGCTGCGAACACCCTTTTTATCGATCCTTTCCCATAGGTTTAAATGGCATAACAATCGATAGATCGCAACTCGCTCCACGCCACTGGTGCTGAGGAGAATCGACGTTTGAACGTTTGGACGTTACCAGATTGATTTGGATGACAAATGAATTTTCGAAGAAAGCTGGGAGTATTTCTTTCAGAGATTTTCAGAGAATTTTCTTCGCAAGTTAATCTCGTGCCTGTGAAAATTTGAGGGACAAACACCCACAACCTTTCCAAGAATATAAAAATTTTATATCTGGAAATTTAACAACATTTGTATAATTGAATCGTGTTAAAGCGGCGACCTTACCTCTCTGTCAGTTTGCCTTCAGTTTTTGATGTAGGCAACCCGAGTTCCTATGTGGCCGAATAGTGGTATCACTCTCAGATCAGATGTCACTATTGCTCCAGGAAAGAAGCAGGAATAATTCCCCGAGCGTGGCGTGTAAAGCGATGACTACCGCGGTGTCAGTTCGCCTTCAGTTTGTAATGTAGGCAACCCGAGCGCTTACGTGGCCGAATAGTGGTATCACTCTCAGATGTCACGATTGCTCCAGGAAGGAAGCAGAAATAATTTGATTAAATTGTTAGAGAATCCTCGTCGCAATCTGTAGCGAAAATACTGTAATACGTACTGAAATAATTTCAGGGAAAAATCCCTTTTCAACTAGTGATCAGACACTAAACAGAATGCCCATCATTCCGATACTGGAGTAATAATATTACCGTGTAATCGCAATGGAGATGATGCATGTGTGAGGAATTTGCGGTTTGACTGTTGATTCTTTTGTAAAAGTTCGCTAGAAACACGATGGTGCCACTGGTTTCCTCTGAAATCAACTCCCAAGCTCAAGAAAGCTCTCGAAGTTGAGGCTGTAATGGAGAGGATATCCCACGCTATCTTGAGAGTCCACCTCTACATCAACACAAACTCTCCATGCAAAGATAGAGAGCAAATACATGGATAGGGCTGCGACTTTATTTGGGGACTCTAAAACTGAAAAGACGGCAACCCTGTCAATGTATTTGCTCTCTATCTTTGCATGGAGAGTTTGTGTTGATGTAGAGGTGGACTCTCAGGATAACGTGGGATAACTATCCTCTCCATTACAGCCTCAACTTTGAGAGCTTTTTTGAGGTTGGAAGTAGATCTCAGAGGAAACCAGTGGCACCATCGTGTTTCTCGCGAACTTTTACATGAGAATCAGTAGTCAAATTGCAAATTCCTCACACATTCAAGATCTCCATTCTTAGCAAATTGCGCTACTTAGAATGCAGGAAAAAGTCCGGAAACTTGGGAGTAAAAGCTGGGCTGAACGGGTGAGCCGCGGCAAACGCAAACGGTAGCGGACTCGTTCATTTCGAGAGTCGTTCGTCTGGAGCCGTGAGCGCCGAGCGGGGCAACGCGAAAAGCGAGGGGCGGGCAGCCAGCGTGGTGCGTGGTGGTTGAACTCGTTCCCGTTCCCCGCGCAGCGCAGTGCAGTGCGGTGTGTTGCAGCCAGTGGACGTGTCGTTCCGTCTCGCGCAGTCTCGAGAAATTCTCCTCCGCGAAGTTTTCACTGTCGACACTCGGCCGCAAAGCTCGCCGAATCTCGCGGTTCATTCCTCCTACAAGTGCTTTAAACTCAGGATTTTCCGAATTTTGAACACAGGATTCCCGGTTTGTCTTGCTGAGCTTTGAAAGTTCGTGCGATACCCATTTTTGGGGACCCACGTGACTCTGGATTCGTTTGTTCGTTTCACGTTTCAAGTTCTGTGTTTACGTACGATCTAAGTCGTCTGGTTTTGTTTGTGTTCTTGTTGCTGTTGTGCATTTTACGATCGAGGAATATATTTTGTGTGTTTCGAGTTTCATGGTTGCGTTGGATTATTCTGCTCTCTTCGGTTTCTCAGGATAATACAGGTGAGTCGCCGACACAGTCGAAACTTTTTTCATTACAACCTCACAACATCAACTAGCAGTGTTTCATATTATCCATATTCTTTCCTATTTTATTGTTCGACATGGCATTCAGAGGCATTTCTGCATAAAATTTTGGAAAAATACATCTGCTAAGGCGAGGGAAATCACACAAAGTACTTAAGTATACAACGTTGAAGTACCTATGCACTTGAAGAGGGTGAGCAAAATTTGACAGGTTAGGAATAATCCGAAAGTTGTAAACAGATTCCTCGTGACAGAATAATGAAAGTAAGTATATAAATTCGATTATGATAATGAGATGACTTGATTATGCCAGCCTCGCGGGAAGAGGGATGCCTCAAAATGTTCTGAGAATGCAGTTCGGGGATCGCACGCAGTGAGACCTCTTCTGGTTGAGCTCTCGAGATCCTTATCGCCGATTTTACATCAATAGGTAATCCCTGAAACACTTGTCGCACCTCTTTAATTATTGAAGAAAACCACCGACACCCTGTCATGTTACGACTGGGAAAGTTACCGCAATTATTTCCGCCGCGGGCGCGGCACATGTAACTTTTCTTGAAATGTTTGATATATTTTATTTTTTTACACCATTCTACCACCACCGAAGCTTTATTAAAGTGTCATACTTACCTACTCTTAACCCATTTTTTCCCCAAAACGGCTTGACTCAGCTTTGCTCAGTCCGCGCAGAAGAATCATCCATCGAGTCCAAAAAGAATTTCGGCCACAGCTTTCTTTACCCACTAACGAGCAAACCAATTCGCCCCACGTTTGGTACTAATGGCCCAAAATTGCATTCTCACTCATTTCGATGGCCTCTCATTTGGTGTTAAATAAGATTTAAAAATGGTCCATCACGTTAATTCTTTCTTGGAATTAATCTTTACAGACGTCTGTCCTATTGGACGGCGCGAAGTTCTTTCCTTCGCTTTTTGGGCTTCCACTTGCAAATCATGGAACCTTCAACCTTCAAATCCCTTTTAACAACGCCACCGCATTAAATAGAGAAAGCCGTATATTTTCTAGAAAATTATTGCTGATTTCACTTCATGCGAAGCCCGGAATTTTTGGGAAATTTGTTTGGCTTTCTGGTCCTCTTCCCTCATTTTCTCGAGGGAATGATATTTGCAATTCAATCTAAGGTGCTTGAAAATTTCAAGAGATAAACATCGTAACTTTTCAGGAAAATGAATATTTTATGGGGGGATTTTAGCAACTTTCAAACGACGATATGGCGTTTTCCTTAGCACATCAAAACCCTTAGTCAAAAGCAGTGCCCATTGAAATGAATTTTTACTGGAAAATTTACATACTCGGAAACCTTTTCCGGTATTTTCAAAATTTTAAACGTAAAATAGTTCTAAAAGAGTCGGAGTGCATTCTGAGGCAATTATGCACCATTTTTCCAGTAAGTACTTCGATGAGTTGAAATAACTACAATATATAGACTTATCAAAAGCTTGTTAAGACTTTCTTTTACGTAATTTTTCCTTCCGAAAGTTTTCCCAAAACGTTCCTTCCTCGTGAATTTAACCGGGGTTTTTTTTTTTTTTCTACCGGAAATTTTTTGCATCAGTGCAGGTGGGTATGAGTGTGCCAGTCTAAAAGCTGACTAGCCAGGGTGTCTGTACAAGTCCGGAAAGTCCGGAAATAGTACTGATTTTTCAAGGGCGGTCCGGAAATACTGAAAAAGTTCGGAAATTTCGCAAGAATGTCCGGAATTTGTCTAACTTTTGTGTCATTTTTGTCTCAATTTGAGCGAAATTCAAATTTTTTAAATTTCGTCAATAACTGGAAGTACCTACTGAAAAAGTAAATTTTTCTGTTGAGGTGGTACTGAAAAAGTACTGTAAAAGTACTGATTTTTGGTTAGCCTGTTTTAGTCGACACCCTGCTAGCGAAAACTCGAAATCGACGTGGATATTTCCCTATCCAAGTACGTTCGATATTAATGTGGCGGCCACATTTTTACCCGATTCAATTTAGGGGAGCGTGCACGGTGCATCCCGAGGAGCAGGAATATACAACCCTCTTTTCAATTTCCCCGGCTTGTTATCATCGGGAGGGACCACGCCCGGCACACGATAATTGAACATGGTGCAAATATTTGATCGTTTGTCAGTCTTTTATTACATCGATATCGAGGCCGGCTTTAATTAAATTTAAATTTTTTACCAGCCACACGGGTCGGAGCGTTCCCAAACCGCGCTGCCGGCTTCATGACAATAACGCTCGTATTTCTCGTCCATCTCTGATTGAATATATCACTTCGCTAAAGTAAAACGCCGTATCGACCTCCGCGTGATGCCGAATTTCCCTTGTTATGATGTTATGTTTCGAAATTTGCAGACACGATACATTCAAATGCGAATACAATTTTGTGGAAAATCGGATTGCGTTTTGCATAAAGGAACCAAAAGCATTGCAATGATGTTAAGATTGTGCAACTTTATCCTTTGCAATAAAATTACGGAGATCTCGAAGAAGTATGAAATTTAAATGGTACTTTTTGACTTCAATTTACAGTTTTTAGCGAGTAAAATAGAAACTACTAATGGATATTCAGGTTTTTCCTCCAAGACGAAAGAAGTTGCACAATCTTAGCAACATTGCAAAGATCGTGGTTCCTTTTTGCAAAGCGCAATCTAATTAGCCTATAAAAACATTTAGTTTTCCGAAGAATTTGAATTTTATCGAAGAAAAGGCAACAAAGCTCATACAACATTCTTCCTTAGCGGAGTAGTAATCAGTATAATGTGAAAGGAAAACGCCATGTGGACATCCGGACGTTGCAAAATTTATTCCGCTAAACTACGCTTATTCTGGGAAACTTCTGAATTTTTTTTTTACAGTTTTTCAGCTGATGTTGTTAGCAACTCAATCTAAAATTTCCAGGAGAAATTTTCATAACTCTTTTTAAAAAATGATCTATAAAACGAAATTTGGCGACAGTCACACCCGCATACGTCATTCTCCCTGAGTACGACGGTGTTTTCAATTAGAGCATTGTCATGAGGCCGGAATCGCGGTTTGTACCTCCTGTTCCCCCGTGCACCGTTAAGAAAGCTACCTATATCGGAGAAGAAACTGCAATATTACACTGAAGAAATATTTCTAGGTATTTGAATGAAAGAAAGCTTTCATCGAACATTTACCGCGTAGGATTTTCACTCGGTATCGAAAAAAATCCAGTCGAAGGGCAGCGTTACTCCTGCCAAATTTGGGGGGAGGAGGGCATATCTTCTTAGGTTAAGGCACTGGTTGCTAAATGTAGGGGGGGTTAAACTTCATAAAATGTCCTCTTGAAATGCATTTTAAATTTGGTACAAATTCATGTGTCATGTTGGTTGTTTATACCATAGAAAACTGATGTCCTTTTGCAGATTGGCATTTATAACAGAAGGGAGTCGAGATAGAGGGGTCAAAATTTCCTAGAAATTTTTCTACCTATTTCACGAGGCTCTAAACTTTATGGGAAACCTTAAGAAGAAGAAACCAGCCAATGTTCCCCACAAAAACAAAAAACAAAACAAAAACATATTAATTTTTTAAAAAAAATGTCCGCCCCTTTTTGTTTACTTGCACTTAGGCACGTATTTACTTATAAAGTACTTGAGATAAGTTACAAAAGCTAGAATGTGGCCCTGCCCTCGCGCTCATAACTGAATATAACTAAAAACGTAGCTGAGAAATCAAGTTCGCCTTCAACTAGATGAATGCAATTTGAGCGGCTCAGGAGTTGAAATAGTTGTATCAGGAATTTTAGTTCAGCATGATGATCGAAGGGAGAGTGACTTTCGTCGTAATCTTCGTGTTTTGACCATCGATGTAAAACTTCCAGTAACTTTGACTGGATTTCCTCGATTGAAAAATATTTTGATGTTCACATCGGGATAAGTTGCTTAAGTTAGAATGTAGCCCTGCCCCCGTGCTCATATCTAACTGAATAACTGAAACTGACTAACTGAGAACGGGACTGAAAAATTAAGTTCGCCTTCATCTTGATGACCATGATCATGACATTAATGAAATAACTATTTTCTAAAATTCAACCGTGAACACGAGAGCAAAGCAGATGAGTCTACGCAGAAAATCTCTCCAGCGTGCCTACGTGGGAGCCGTCAAAAATATCACGGAAAGAAACCAAAGCGACTCGGTTCGAAGCTAGTTAAAAATGTAAAGAGAGCAACTTTTTAATCAGGATTGTAAATTTTCAAACCAGAGGCGCTCGTGAATAAAATTGCAGGGAATAACTTGAAGATTAAGTTGGCCAAGTTTGGTCGGGAAATTAAGCGCTAATGACTCCGTTTAATTTTTCGCAACTTTAAATGTCCCCCGTTGCTGCGCGCGAAGCGAAGTTCATCTGGTCCTCTCTTTTTATTGGGCGAACTTTCGCATTTCTTGTTCCGTTCACTATTTACCGGTCCTCACGTAAGACCCTCCCACGACTTTTTACTAATTATTTTCCATGCTAATTTTTACCGATTTCATCCATAGACGTTGCCGTACTTAAACAGGAGCGATTTATCTTTCCCTAATAAAAGCACCGAAAAAAATGTTACAGATTCATATGGAACTCCGAAGCTTTTTCTCCGGATAGCCGTAGTCAATTATGTGTAATAGGAGATCCAAATCTCGATCACGATTTCTGTAACCATAGCTTGCACTCGGAGGACTTGCGGATTCCTCACGAAACACTTTGGTTATATGAACGGAGGTTCAGGTTATTTGACAGAAAAATGGTTGGTCACTCGGACCAAAAATTTTGGCAAAAGCTGATTGGAAAAAAATCCATGTCCCACACGTCTTATTTGGACCAAGAGAATCATCTTCTGAAACACAAAAAATCGTATTTCGAAAGAACCCTATTAAGAATTCAGGTAGCAACTTCGAAAACGTCATTAATATTGTGCTCGTGTTTTTGCAGTGTTGTGTTTCACCATTTATTTGGCTTTATCCAAAATACCCAATTCAGA